GTGTCCAAGACAGGATGTCGAGCTCCTGCCTCCTGTGCTTTGGAGGGAGGTAGAACATCTCCAGTGATGGAAGCTGACTGACAAATCTAGGGGAAAAAATCCTCTTACATTTACTGTTAACCAGCTGATGCTGCAAGGCATGAAATCTGATTATAATTATTGTCTTAGGGTAGAGCTGCACCTTCTATGAGTGTGCGCCATTATGGAAGTGCATCAGAATCTCTCTCAAATAATTTCATAGTTCCCTGGGGACACCAGGATGTTTTGAGTCACATCTTCCTCCCCCTTTATGTGCGTACAAGCAAAAACTCTTGACAAACACTGGCTCAGAGCATGCACCCTAGAAAGATACTGAATCTTGCCATAAAGGTGCCAGGTCATGGCAACACTGTTATTCCCTCTACTCACCTTTGCTTTTTATTCATCTTTCTTCAAGGAAATGGTGTGTTAATTCAAGGTAGAAATTGGTAGTTTCTAACTAGTAGGTCATTGTTTTGCTACTTTGTATGAGGTTGAATCATTCCCATTACTGAATTTGTCTAGATATCTATCAAGAGTTAATACCGTCCCAAGCTTTTCTGTTGATAGGCTGAAGAAGTTGAATCTTTTATACCTCATCTAAATAGGCCCATTTTCTCAAACGTGGGAGTCTTTGTTTAGAAGGGTGGCTTTTTAAAACCATTAGTGGGTTAGCCACATTTAAAAATATTTAAATGTTTCTTGGAGAAATTTGTTGGTAGACCAGTTCAAGCCATGATTAAAACAGAAATGAAAAAGCTGGGCTGGCAGTATCTTGTTAAGCCTGTATTTCCTTTTAAAATAAAGTACACAAATTATTCTTAAATTGTTTATATCTCAAAAGAAGAACTTCCATCCCAAGGTACATTTGGTATATGAGAAACTGCTTCAGTCTGCATGAATTTCCTTGTAGAAGTTTAGAAGAGGTCCTGCCCTTCTATATTAGCCTGCTGAACTGTGAGGGGTTAGAGATGAAATTACCCGAACCCTTCCCATTAAACTTTAACTGAAACAAAACACCCCACTGGAACAGAGGTAATAGTGCTTGAAGGAGCAGATGGAGCCACTGGATTCCAGAAAATATCTTAACCTAGCAACTTCAGTGGCTGACAATATCTGATGGAGAAAAAAACAAACACAACGAGCTAATATATTCATCACCAGAAGAACCCATCCCCAGTAGCTGCTCATGGACACACGGAAAACGCCTCTTTCTTCTGTACTTTCCATCCAAGCACATTGTTCATTACTGACTTGAATGGCATCCAGCTCCCAAAATAGCCATTAAAGCCACCTCCAGTGAGCCCTGCTTCTGCCCCTTGCCCGAGACATGTGCCACTTGTTTCTGGCTGAAAGCGCCTCCTCTGTCCCACAGCTTGTCCAGAGGCTGGAAGTCCCTGCTCCACTCTGGGTGCTGTGAATTTGGCAGCCCGTGCCTTCAGTACTGATGTGCTCTTACCAAACTGTGGGAAAAGCTCAAGTCTTGGCCTTTCCTATCCTCAGTCATTGATGAGACATTGTAAATGGTCCACATTCATAACTGGCTCGTAAAAGTGAACACAAAGGCAATTAATTTTACTGAGAATGCAAAATCCTTTAGGGTATATTCAAAACTAGAATCTATAGTGAAGTGTTGCAAAATGATACCGTGAATTTCATCTGCCTTTGTACCACAATGGTAACACAAAGTAACTCACACAGAGAAAACCACTACTGATGCCATCCAGGTAGCGGTGGTCATTGAATTAGCTATTAGCTGTTGCACTAAGAAAAGAAGTCTTGCCATTATCAATAGTAATACTTTAAAAACACAGTGTTCATCAGCTGTCACAAATGCAGGGAGAACAGAGAATCCAGCAAAATAAGTGATGCTGTTCTGCTTAAATACACAGCTCGCCCATGTCCTGATCGTGTCATTCAGCTCTAGAATTGCCCTCTCCTACATCTCAGGAGTTTGTAGTAAAACCAGAAAAGTGGTATTATCTGTGTGTTATAGATATGCATGTATACATATATGCATAAATATATATGTATAAAAGAAAAGGAGAACACACATAAAACTCACTTGCTATGGTAACTGTTGTGGAAGCCAATAATGGTCAGCTAGCTGTGAAAAGCATGGGAGATAAGAACACATTTACTGTTAATACTGTTCATTTTTAGAAGAGCGGACAATGATACAGCTATTTTGACAGTTTCTTCTGAAATGTGAAGTATTAGGCATTGTCAGAACCAGGATACAAGGTTAGATGGACTTTTAGCTGCCTGATGTTGTGATTCTTATCTTCCTCCATGGGGTGAATTAGAATTCTTTGGATCAATGAATGTACACATTCTTTTCTTGTATCAGACAACATTACACATCCTCTTGTCATTATAATACACCAGAAGATTATTTTCAATGATAATGAGCAAGACCACGTCAATCATAGGACTTTTGTAGTGGGAATTTGCTTCTTACTATATCTTCCATGTGCCAAATTTCCCCCTTTTTTCTTCTTGAATTACCACTCAGAAGTTGGTAGCAAAATGTTCAGAATTTAAAAAAGATAAAAAGAAAACGTCTCACTTCTGCTGCCACCAGTGCTCTAAGTTATACAGGCATTAACTTCTCCTGTGCATCAATGATTATAAAAATGGCACAGGCAGAGCCTACATTTTATTCTGCTTAAATATCTGTACAGATCACAGCTTTTTGCTGATGGACACTATTGTTGGAAAACATTAGTATGCGCTACCTGTGTTTTCCCATGTTCAAAGGAAGCAATCACAGAGCACTTCATTTATTTTGCTAAGAGCTCAGTAAATGCTGCATTGTTGCCATTCTGCAAAGAATGTATTGTCATGTAGAGGCATTATCATTAACAGATTCTTTTCAAATTCCAGGAAGAGTGTGATATTTTTATTTGGCATAACGAAGTCTAAGCACTTATGAAATTTGAGTGTTTTAAGGCCTTTAATTTCCTCCACACTCAATTTTTTTACTTAATTAACTGGAAATTTCTTCTGTGTAGACAAGTTCTAGGCCCCATGTTAGGTCTTGGGCTTGGTGTGTAACTGATGAAGACACTATTGGTATCCACAGGATCTGAAAAAAGTAGAAATGGATTACAGAACATGCCAATTGTAAAACAACTGCATCAGGAAGTTAACTTATAAAGAGTGGAGATTTAGCTCAGATGTTGATGGAGCAACTAACTTGAGGTGGCTGAAGTTAGGCAATCAGGATCCTCTTAGTGCCTCTAGAGAGAAAATTGCATTTTCAGATGTGTCTCAGTCACTGTCATGGATTTGGAAGTCAATCTCACTCTGAAATTTTAGGAAGTTAATTCACATTTTCCAGTATGAGGGATAGGAGCATAAGGCTTCCTGAAAGTCAGTAGGATTTAGGTTCCTAAGCTGGGAAGATACTTTAGAAATGGGATACTTCAGCACATTTTCCTTATCTTTGTTTTGGTCATTCTGTTCATTTTTGTTTGGGACTATTTGTCCTTCTAATAAATAACCAATTTGCAATTAATTATAATTGATTAGTCTCTTCTTCAGTATTCATACTTTGATAATCTGTAAAACTTCCCAAAAAAAGTGGTGTCATAATTGTAACATTTTGTACCTTGACATTAACTGTATATTTCACTCATGGCCAATTTAAAAATCAAAATAGAAACTTTGTAATATTCTCCCTTTACAGTTTGGGTTATGAGAAGCTGAGAATTCCCTTAGGCTTGATTGATAAAACATGGCATTTATCCTATTCCTAGGATGACGTTCAGCAAACTTTATGACAGAGGGAAACAGCTGGTAAAGTGGGTTCATGGAAAGGTGAAGGTAATATAGACATAAAAAACAAGGGGATAATGATTTTAAAAGGGATAATAGTTGTAATAACACCATTAACCTTTTGCTTCAAATTATTGAATGTGTGGTCTCTTCAGCAGACTAATCAAAGGTTTGCATTAACTGCAATGCAAGAGGAAGTGGCAATATACAACCTGAGGTGATTTTTTCCCCTCTTCCAATTATTCACTATCAAACATTTACTTAAAAAAAAAAACCAACAACAATAAAATAAAATAAAATAAAAAAACAAACAAACAAAAAAACAGAAAAAGAGAGAAAAACAGCCCTGTGGCTGTTGAAGACCCCTTCCAATTTTGAAATGAAGCTGGCTTGCTTTCAGAAGAAACAAACTCCAGCTTCCTTCCTGCTTTGTAAGAGGTGGATTTTGCTAGGGAAAAAATAAATGAAAAGTAAATATAATTTGCTATAGATAAATAGAAATTAAAGTCAGAGATGTAAAGAGGTAGTGAAGTGTTACAGGGCAGACTGTCAGAGCTAGCCCTGAGCTGTTTGGTGGTATTGCATGGGGGGATCAGCAGCAGAGCTCCACCTCGAAGGGCAGGCATACACATCTCTTCATAAAGTGTAGGCATGTCATTGCAGAGGCCTGATGGCTCACTTGAGACGTGCGAAGCTCCACGCTGCTCTGTCCGGGTCACTTCTGGTAGCTAAACTGCTAATTCAGCCTGGATTGGAGAAAAACTTCCTTTTTTGCTTTCATGTTACATGCACACAGGGTTGACTAGCAGAGGCAGACTATGCTTTGAGAGTTTATTCACATGCTAAAAGGCAAATGCACTGATGGTGGAAAATTGCCGTTGATGGTGGAAAAGCTCACGGTGACTGGATGGAATTGTTCAGGAATTTGTCCGGTTGGACAAATCTGCTTTGTCATATGATTTTGCAAGTGGTGATCCTTACTGTTCACTTAAGGCGTCTATCCAAGGTGCACATCAGAGCACCTTTGGTTGGAAACCTCCCTTCTGTATGCAGTGAGCGGAGAGAGAACCACCTGAGTTAGACACCCCAAGCAAGATTGTCTGCCTGGCTTGCAATGTGTCATGTCAATCTAGTATGAAAGGAATAAGTGTAAAAGGAAGTTTGCACCGTTCCTCGCTGACAAAACCTCCTATCATTAACAGCTCCGTTCTGTGGAATCAGAAGACGGTAAAAGACTTCAGGAGCAGCGTGCCTTGAATTTGAATTAGCCAGATTGAATTTAAAATCAACAAGCTGAAAGGGCCTGAGATAAGAAGTCAGAACATTCAGAGGAAATGAGAACTGTTCTGGGAACTAAAGGTGAGAGAAACACTAAGTCACATTAAAAATATTCAGCAAGAAAAGAGACACCTTTTCTTTTTCTGGACACCTTTTCTTAGAAGTTGTCTATAATCAGTAACCTTTCCCAGGCACTTTCCCAGGCTGTTTTTAGTAGCTGAATCCTTTGTTTCAAAACCACCCATTGATTCAGTGCCCTAAGTGAGAAGTAATTAAGGTGGACAGAAATCTTGCCTGCTGTATGGTTGTATGAGGTATAGAGGAGAGAGGCAGAAAGAGGAGTGAATGAATTTTTCCAAAAGGTAGCTCTCACAACACATGTGAGTTTGCTGTAGTGTATCGTTAAATACATGTGTATGTAGATGTGCAGCTCTATTCATCTGTCTATTGATCTATTTATTTCCATATACACACATGCTGATGTACATATGTGTGTGTTCCTGAAAGATAACGAACTGTTTAGGCAGTACTTTGTCAGAATATCATTTAAAGAGTTACATCCTTTTAATACACAGTAGTTTAAGCAAACTCCAAGGTTCTTACTTGGCAATAAACCCATTAAATCATCTTAAATACCATGTCATAATGACAATTTAATGCCACCAGATGTGGCACTAGGGATTTTTTTTTTTTTTTAAATGCTTTCCTGGAGATACAGCTTCCTGAATTTTAAACTCTCTAGCCTGTTTGCACAGCTGTTAGATCACAGAGCTCTGCCATCTTTTTGCCTTGCATCACTTATTCACTAAATCATGTGTGGCATGACTACAAACTCACTGCATCTAAAACGTTTAGGCTCATATCCACTTCACCCTCGTAAAGGCTGAATAGTTGCACCGTATGGGAGAGGGTGTATGAGCGTTAAAATCCGAGAGCAGTATCCATTCCAGCTGTGGAGCTCCCTCATGGGGAGATTTTAGAGATGCAGTCAGAAGACTACCCTTTTCACACTTCTTTTCACTGGCTACCTAGCATCCTGTGGCTCTGTAAAAAATACAGATGCCTGGCCACTTTCCTGGCTTTTCTCACCTTGTTAGCCAAAAAGGCAACCAGATTGGTAGTACGGCACCACTTCTACATGAGAGAGACTTGAGAGAAGGACGTGTTAGCAGCGTACAAGAGTCCAAAAAAGCCCTCTCACAAACAAATACTTTACACACTGCATATTTAAATAGTGGAGAAGCCATGGGAGGCTGTGGAAGAACTTAGGGACCAACAACAGAAATACGTTAAATGAGGAGCAAAATGAATGGAGGAAAGATGCTTTCCTGGCTCGGAAACACGGTGGTCCAAAGCAACCTGTAATCCAAGAATTCCCGAATTTCTGACTGACAGAGAGCAGGAGACCATCTAATGAGCAGACTGTTGATTTACCTGACCAGCAGCACTGGACCAATCAAAGCCGGGACACTGGGCCTTTGCTCTGACCCAGTGTGGGGGGACCGTGTTGTCAGGCTTTTTGTCACGCTGTGAGTTTGTCTGGGTGAGTGCTGCATGATCTGTGATGGCAAATGCGGCTGCTGTCCCGCTGAGACCTCGCGTTAGCCATGCATTTTCCCCTAAAAAAGGTGGTGGGTACGTGGGAGACATGTTGGCAAGGGTTTGAAATGAGGTGGTGAATTTTGTGCAATTAGGACATGCTGATAAGTGCGATCACAGCTGAAGCACAAGCACTGATGGTGGAATTTGGAGCGGCTCTTGGATGAGTCAAAATCATGGTCTGTGACCCCAGGGGATCGCTGCGGGCATTTCCTGAGGGTCAGGAAGGTGGGCACAAGACACTGAAAGCCTAGCTGTCAGTAGGTGACAAACACACTCAGCTTGAGTGTGATTTGGTGGTGTCGCAATACCGACCTCCTATCAGTGCCAAAGGATTATTAAATCCTGATTTAATGTGAATTAGAAATACTCTTCAAAAAGCTGACTCAAAGCCCAGTGGAAAGATTACCATTGCCTTGCATGGAGTCTTGGTTTGATTTGCATTTTGGCTCTGGGGCTGACATATGAGTGCTTGAGCAGCTCTGTATTGAAGAGGGCATGAAATGCTGTCTAGATGACCCTCCAGTGAAGTGTAATATTTGATAGCATCAGTAAATACAAAGCAGAAACAAAATGACAACAGCATTTGAGCATCTTGTGATAGCAAATGAGGTGGAAAAGTTAAATGGATATAGGAGAGGATCCCCAGAGGTTGGATCGCAGCATGATGCTGGTAGGAGCCCGGTTGTTACCATACTGATATCAACATGTGGAGCTCTAAATCTTTTTGGATCGTGGCTGAACAGAGATTTGCTCGTAACTGCCTTTTCTCTTATTCATACTGTAGAGGCTGTCCTCCTCTCCTACCAGCAAACAAATAAAAACTCTGTGCCAGCTATAGCAGCAGTTTACATGGAAAAGCAATGAAGCAATTTCAGCAAAGTATTAGATGTAATTTAGGCTTTTTTTTGCTGTCACTTAGCAGCTAGAAAGAGGAGATGCACTGATGTGCAGAGCCGGGTGTGTATTATGCAAACTCATATCACAATCTCATTGACTGTTTGTGGACCCCCATATCTCTCTGTTTCCATCTGTTGTTTTAAGACCAAGTTGTTTGGAGAATGTCCAAATTCCTTTCCCTTTCCCAACTTTGGTGAAGTACCTGCCTGCCTTAGGCTCCCTACATAGACAACAGGGAGAGAGGCTTCTCCAAGGAACATGATCTGCCAGGGGATGCTCCTCTACTTCTCCCCCTTCCGTCCTTCCACCCTCTTCCCCTGACTGCACAGGGATTTTAGAAGGTGCCTAAATACATCACCCCAGTCAAGGACCAGAGTTGGATGGGGTGAACTGGGGCTATGCTGCTGTCTTCAGCTGGTCACGGTTCAGAATTAAGATACCACAGACTGTAAGGAGTATGAATGTGTGATCCACTGGTTACCCACGGCCCACGGGTGGGCAGCAGCAGAAGCTGCCATGTCTGAGTGTAGGCAATATCTGGTGGCTGATGCAATATTTCAAGAGATAACAAGGGAAAGTTGAGCTTATCCAAGAAAACAGAAATGACACAGAAGATAAATAAGCAAAGCATATAAAACATAAATGCAATCCTATTAAAATTAAGTGTGTTTTAATTTCTGAAAAGAATGACATTTTGGTGTTAGATTTACTGAACAACAAAAGATTACATGCATCATTAAAAGAAAATGTTTTCAAGGGCCCTTTTAAAAAATTGTATCCATGTTTGCAATTGCCATGTGCAAAATATAAAAATCAGAGAAGGGAAAAAAACAGCAAGCAGTGGAAATAGCCCATTTTGTGAATTATAGGAAAAAATATACCATCTGTGATTTAGTGTAGTTCCCAAGATCCCATCTGTGATCGAAGCACAGTCCTCGTTGAAGGCTGAATCCCTGAGCCATTCCATATGATAAAATATTTCTCTTGGAAGATGCTTGGGCTAATGGGTTTGTTTTTCTGGAATATGGCTCTTCTAGATGAGACATAAAAGCCTAGAGGCCTTATTTCTCCTCCAGTGGCCGACTACAGCTGATGTCAGGAGAAGCAGGAGTGAAAGGAGGTCAAAGATCTAACCACCTTTTCCTTCAAAATTTCTATACTATTTATCAGGTCAGGTTGTTGGGTCTGAGAGGTCTAGATGGTGATTTCATTATCTCTGGTGTCAGACGTGCGGTCACTGGGCTCCTTGCATGAGGAGGGCTCACTGTGCCGCTGTACAACAGAAGCTCTATTTCCTTTTGTTACTGCTATTCAGTTTTCAGCAGAGTGAGAGAGAGAGTGATCCCTTAAACTGGCGCAGGCCTCTGATGCAGATGCACTTCTGCCGTCGTCCGATGCCTTTATATGTGTTGTCACTGTGATCTCTTGGTCTTAGTCCAAAGGTGGCCTTGGCTGTATCAGGTATTTATACAAATACAACAGATTTCATTCAAATTCTCTATTAATTACACATACACCTACAGACTGGCGCAATTTCAGTTACCACTGAAATTTATATTTGAATAATAAATGCATTCACCTGTTTAATATATGTTTATACTTTCAACTCTATATAATTACATGCTGGTTATACAATTATAGAAAATACTTGCATATTTTGCACAATTATGCTATTACTGAAATAATGCCTGCAATAGAACTGCGTGTATGTGTGTGCACGTTTGGTAAAATACAGCCGTGGTTGGTTGTTTCAGAGGCGTCCAGAGCTGGTGCCGCTCCCTCTCGGGGGAGGCGTGCTGCCTGAGCAGACGGCGATAGACCGCAGGAGCGTGTGTGTTACTACTGTTATCACCTGTGGGTGAATCTAGCCCTTTTACAGAATGGTTTCAGCTTTATTATAAACCACCTGATTTCATGCTTGGCTGGCCCGGCTCCCCGTGCCCCTCGGTTCTGACGCCCAGCGCGAGGTGCCCCCCCGGCTGGAGGTGCGGCTGCCCAAGCAGTCACCCCAGAACCACCGTCCCCCCTTACGCCGAGCCCCAGGCGGCGCTTGCCTCCGCCGCTTCTGGGACAGACGTTTTGCTGTGTGCCTGTGTGTCCTCGGAGCGCTTCAGGCATCCTGCCAGGCTCGCACTACCCGCTGCCGCGCGAGCGTGCGAGGGACGGGGCAGATTCGTGTCACGGCATGCTGTGTCGTGCTGGAGAATACAACTGCAGCTGGCTCTCATACAGCCCTCTGGCCTGGGTGCTCTCCTGCTTGGGGGGGTCCTGGTCACCGCCTTAATACAGATGAATAAACAAACAAGTAGCAGCCATTGATAGCAGCAGCATCTGTGTTTGTACTGATGGCGAGTGAAACGATTCACCCAAGCTAACACGACAAAGCAGCGTCAGAGCTGGGAGCGGGACGCTTGCCTCCCACCTGCCGCTCCCGGGATCAGCCGGCTGCCTGCACAGCACCACGTGGCAGAAAAAAAAGGCCCGTTCAGTGGGATAAATATCCATGCCGTACAGGTCTTGCAGCCAAAGGGTTAAAAAGAAATGAGTGCATTTGGCGTTCTCTGCGGAGTGCCCAGAGTCTGAACATGAATGACCAAATTGCTTTTTACTTTTTAAATTAAGGCCTCTGTCTGTATGCACGCAGCTAACACTGCTGTTCCATTAAATAAAAGAATTTGTTCCCACTCTTATTTTTAATAGGGTAAGACCCTGCCGTTCCATCTCACAACTTTACTGACACGAGATCTTATTAAAAGCAATTCTCCCCCCTTTCCTCCTTGAAATCTGAGCTTCTGATAGCTTCATCCACATTGTGTTTATTTTATATACACAGCTCTGCAGCTGCTGCTTCCTTCTTCTCCGATAAATGACAGCATAACTGTTGCATCCACTAAAAAAGTAAATAAAATTAAATGGGGAAGAACAATACATCTCTGGCAGAGCATAATAACTCTTTTAAGGCACGTATCTAAATTGTACAGCCTGATCTTAATTGTAAGGATAATTCTTTGTTATTTCAAGCAACTTGGAACGCGACAGCAAACGCACACTCTTGGCAGTACATCCAGAGAGATTTCTGTGGAAACAATGGGGAGAATTCTCCTGAACTGAAAGGAGATTGAAGCGTCTTTATTAGGTTAATAGGGCTAGAGTCTGTGCTGAGAAAGAATGGAAGAATATGTTATGATCTGTTGGAGGGTTTTTTTAAGCACAGACAGTGCTGGATGGGGCCCTGCGTGGGTGTTGTGTGGGTGGGGGTTCAGTGTCAGCGTTGGCAGCGAGGAGCCCCTTGACCAGCCAACCTCCAGCCCTGTGTCTCGCTCCCCGGGGAGGACCAAGAGCAGGAGGTTTCCCTCATCCTCCCCAGCTGGTGAGCCAGGCTGGTCCCATGCTGGACCGGTGCCGCTGACGTGTGGCCCCATCCAGGCTCCAGGCCAGTGCCTTTCTGTTATTATTTCTCTCTGTTTCATTGTCTCTGCCATCGCTGAGGAAGCCACTGCCAACAGTGGAGGCCAGCAGCAGTGTGCTGGTAGTTACTGGTGCTGCGTAGCCACGGCTGTGGGGCTGGGGTACAGTTTCAAAATGTCTATTCAGTCCTTAGACAAAAGTCCTCTTGAGTTTGCCCAGAATTTGTCTGAGGAGCTGGGAAATTATATTAAAGCAGAACAAGCGAGAGAGAGTAATGTGAACTCAGACTATTAAATTAGGAGAGGACAGTATTTATGGTAGCATCAGAAACTGGAATTGTTTTTGACAATCATCCAACTCTGTCTGGAGTAAGGGGAACCTGTGCAAATGTGTGATTGGCTCTGCTAACAGCTTGGCTGATTCAGAAACTGCATAGCTGAGACTCCAGGGTAAAGCAAGTTGCTTTCCTGACTGGTGGCTGGGGAAGAAAGATGACCTGGTGAAGTGATCTTATGGAGGAAGGGAGAAGAAATACTTCCAAGCAATGAAGCACTATCCTTGGTGAGATGATAGGAAAGAGTAAGAGGACAGAAATACAGTCCAGGTGATAACTTAAAAAATGTAGAAATCTTTAATTTAAAAGAGAGATAAAGCTACATAAGGTGGGAGGTGTAGTGTCTGTTTTGGAAGTAGCTAAGACCTTGGGAAAGATCAGGCTGGGCAGGAGCGCTGCTGCTCTAAGGGAGTAGCAACAGTTGACAGGCAAGGTGGATGCCTTATCAAAAGGATGAAGGAATAATGGCTATAAAAGGCACGAAAGAGGTTTCCAGAGCAGGTGAAGTAGCACTTGTGGGAGATTAACCCCAGGTGTTATCTGGGAGATGTCTGGAGGGAGAGGTGAAGAAGGGCACTGGCTCAGCAAGGCCCGGGGTGGCTGCCTGGGCGCTGCACAGCAGGACACAGCCTCTCTGCTCCGCAGGGTGTAGAGCCGGTGCTCGCCAGCTCCGCCGCTACTGCCCCGTGAGCGATGCCCGGCCATCGGTGTGGCACCGCAGCCTGCGCAGGCGTCCCCGGGAAGATGCTGTGGGGACCGAGTTCTCTGCAGAGGGGCCCCCCGTGCCGGGAGGGTGGGCACTTGCAGCTCCCCATGTGTCTTGAGGGCAGCTTTAAGCCTTCTACGCATCACGTTTACCATGTAATCGGTGGCCGTTTACCCCTGCACCGAAATAAATAGCAAGTTGTTTACCATGGCCTCAGCCTGCTTTCCTGCCCTGCGTGCAGGGCACTGGCGGGGTTGGGTGCTGCCTGGAGGCCAGACTTGGGAGGGTGGGGTGAAACCTCAGCTTCCAGGAGAGGAGGAGGAGGAGGCTTCAGACCTCGATCATGTACCTGCTCTGCAAGGCAGGCTGAGGCTGGCTGTGGGTTACTATTCCAGCGTAGCCTCAGGGATAAATAAAAGGAGCCGTGTTCACATGAATGCTGCCCCTTGTACCAGCTCCAAGTGTCAGCAGGGCAGCTCCTTGTCCTCAGCCAACCCAGAGGAGAGGCTGAGGCACTTGCTTGTCGCCCTGTCGCTGTTTTAAGGAGTTCATTCTGCCGGGATGGACCATTTTCTCTCTGCTCTGTTGCAGCATGGCTGTGAGCAACACAGCATAGCTCAGCTCCCCTTGGACCAGCAAATTCCAGACAAAAACCAAGGACAACATCTGGCCCTTTGAAATCATCCAAGAAGTACCAGACGCAGCCTGGTATGAGAGGCAGGAGGAATCTATAAACCTGAAGCAGCACTCTCATTTTCTGATGCTGCAGTTTGGTCAATGGCAACAATGTCATTGCTGGGTCCATTTTTGTCTTTTAATTGGGAGGAAGATTTACAGCTTTTATAGTATCTGGTCTAGCCATTATCATACAGATGCTTCTTGCATATGCTCCAACTTGAAGCAAAACACAAAGTAGCTTGATATTAATATAAGCTAGAGCTCATCATGAAACAATCACATCACCAGAGATTTATCCTTTGGTGAGGGCAAGAATTTCCCTGGGAACGGATCAGGTTTTTCTCTGTGGTCTAAACACTGAATTAGAACCAACGAGGTGACGACGACACAGTGGGCAAAAAGCCTTGCCCGGTGAGTGCAGGGCAATAAATGAGGTTTTCGTTTAGTTGCATAAGCTCTTAACCTTTCTTGCTGCAAAGTGCCATCTAGTGTTCACAGCCAGGCCGGCCAGCCCCTCGGCCAGCCAGGAATTGCAGTGTCAGGCTGCAAGCAGCTTAAAAAGACTAGGGGGAAGACAGACAAGTAAACAAACTTTAATTATTACTAACCAGATGTGATCGGTCTTTAACACATGATTGTAGCAACCGAGGCAAATGAAGCTTCTTTACTATGTCATGCAATAGGAGATGTTTCAACTGAGTTCAAAAATTAACCTGGATCTCAGAAAACAACGTGATCGCACTGAAGGAGCATGTTGTTGGGAAAGCAACTGTGGAATTTCATGCACAAAATATATGCCCAATGATGTGTCAAATTTGCATGTGCAACGAGCATCGTGGCATTATTAATGTTGTTTGTGTTACAGCGGTGCTTCTGCGTGCTCATGAGAGAAGTGGAATCGGGCACCGGACACACGGAGTGGTGCTGGATGGTCCCTTACTTGCAAGTTTGCAAGCCAGCTGCAACGAGTAGGTGAATTCAGGAGCAGGAGAGCACCTTAATGACCATCATCTGCTGTGTAAGTGCATGCAAGTTAATTGTACATGCAAATTAGTCATGCAATAGCCTAAAATCACACACAGCAAAGACACAGATTAGCATCTAAAGTGCAAGAATCGGGGAGGGATGATCCACAAGAACGCTGAGAAATTGGAGCAGAGGGGGAGCTAAAAAACTGCACAAAAACGACTCTGCATCCAGATTTGTATCTGAGGCATCTTTCGTACTGGGCTGGGGCTGACCTGATAGGTTTGGAAATCTCCCTGGCACATCTCATCACCCCTAAAACCACCGTGAGCACAGACCTCAAACACAAAGGTGGTTATTATTATTTGCTGTTATCTGGATAGCGCTGACAGCACTTAGAAGTGCCAGAGGATTCATGCCTTGGGTTTTGCTCTTGCAATGGCCAGGAGCAGAGTCTAATTAGCCCAAACAACATCCATGATAGAGAACAGCCCTACTGACAGGGAGCAAATTAGGTCTCTGACCTAGCAAAGCGTTTAACCATGTGCCACATTTTTTAGTACGTGTATCTCTGGATTAAGACCTGGATGATGCAACCTCTTGCTGCCTCTGATTTTTTTGACTGCAGTATGAAGCCCAGCTCATCTTGCTGGCTCAAAAATATCTGTGTACAGTATTAATCTGCTTTCTAAACTGACTCCTTGTGTCTGGACAAAACACCAGGGTTTCCTCCTAAACTGAAGGATCTTTCTCATCTACCTTCCTAGACTTTTTGTAGGAAACCCCATCCCGGTGTTCAGCCATGCACAGCAGCTGGCTCCGCACTGATGCTGGTCAGCAGCATCTGGGGAGAAACATAGAGTGACTTTAGCACATCTGTGGTGTGACCACTTGCCTGATGTCTCAGCAGTAATGCAGCCCTTTTCATGACAACAGGTCACCTAAGGGGCTCTTAGTCCCTCTGTCCAGTTGCACACTCACACACACACACACAGGATCTTAAGGCTGTCTCAGTATGAACGACAGCAGCTCCTCCTTTCTGTTTGCTCCTTTGCGATCTGCTGAATCTCTCTTGCATTCCTTGTCCCACTTTGGTGATAAATGGCAGAGCGAATACAACAGCAATGAAGAACCTGGAAAGCTGTGCAAACTACAGGGGATGCTGAGAAGTGCCTAGTTTTATCTTGGAATTTGGGAAGCAGATGTTGAATCTGGTCTTGAGGGAGTCACCTTGCTGTCAGAACTGACATGACCTTTATGAATTTCTCAGAAAACTCCTTGGCAGTGAGGACTTTGTGAGGAGCTACATGTCCCTCAAAGGGAGTTTTAAGATTTACCCTGGATCTTCTCATGCCATGGCAGAGGCCGGGAGCACGTCTGCTTTGCTTACCAAGCCACATTATAAGCTTGGTGGTTCAGGGTGGGGAGAAGAGGAGGTTTAAGGAGACTCCAGCTGGAAATTGGTGGGTGTTACACTTGATGATCTGCTTGCACCCCTGTCCAGGAAGCCCCTGGGACAGTGTGCCACAAAATATTCCCCTATGATAGCTGCTCCTTCCCTGTACTTGTTGTTGGACATCTGAAATCACTGGGCTAGATGGACCTTTGGTCTCACCTCATGTCACTGCTCTTATCTCCCACGTTCTTCAGAAATTCCCACCTCTTCTGATCCACTGTGTTGTTTCCACCGGTGTGACAGGGCTTGGTACCACAGAGGACAACCCCACTCCTCTGTCCCTGCCCCACTGTGAAATTGTGTATGTTCCTGGTCCAAAAGTTGTACCTATAGATGTACTGCATGAAGCTGGCAGATGAGGTAGGTGCCAGCGGAGCCTTATAGCACCCCTCACCGTGCACATCCATCTATTCCACTGAGCTAGGAGGGTTACTGTTATGATGTCTGCTGAGCTACAGACTGCTGGGGTCATCTTAAATTTATCAGCTCGTGCTGTAAGTGATCATTGTGACTGTTTCTCATTTGCATTGGCCAGAAGTGCCTGGTGACCCCACTGCTGAGTGAGCACCCGAACCTAGATGTTCACAGGCTCCTCAATTAGCAGTACAAGAGAAATACAGCTAAGAGAGCGCTTCTGTGTTATAGAGGCAACCTCAGAGGTTTGCACATCAGGGTTACAGCTCCCCTTACAAGTGGAACCGCCAGTTCTTTAATAAAGCCTGAGCATGATGCAGCATATGCCCAAAGAGTACAGTGTGTGCTGAGAAACTTGCACTGGGTTTTGTTTATTGTCATGTACTCAGAGCAGCAACATTTGTGCAGATCAGATCTGAAGATGGGGGGAAAAAAGCCCACTCCTCTCAATTAGTTACAGCACAGTGTGTTTCTTTAGTGCCACCTCTTGGCCAGCAGACTGTAAGGTTTCGTATGAAGACGAGCATCTTGTGTGATGTAAATGTGTTCAACCTGCTCTGCTCCATGCTGGTGTTTCATGGAAGGAAGGAAGTGAATATTGTAAATTAGCATAGAGGAATAGTCTGAAATATTTGTATTTCTTCCTTCATTTTTTAACAGGCTTATTCTATGATGGGCATGGTATGGGTTTTGATGTAGAATCCTACCAGCTGGTGTGTGCTCAGGCTTTGAATATGATCATACCAAAAAAAAATCTAGCATTTTCAAATGTAAAAATAGCACAGTATTTTTCCCGACACAAAAATAAATTATTAAAGATTCTCCGACATTTCCTTGGTTTAATTCCTCTCAACTCCACTTCCAATGTATCTTTTGGGATTTATAGACTGTATGGTCAGAAGGACCCCTTCATGACACAGGGGGATTTTTTCAGCAAATCCTCCATCAACTTCAGAACTTTGGGTTGAGCAATATGACAGTTTTTCAGACCGTGGTCCACAAATCCCAGAGTTCGGGACTTATTTCTTCAGAGTGAGGAAAAGGTAACTAATGCAAACAGGGCAAGCTTAAGGTTTGCTGCCCAGGAGGTGAAAAGTCCACAGCAATATTTTCAGGAATCTGCGAATTGAGAAAAGTTGCACACAGCTACGGCAGAGAATGCTCTTTAGGTAGGTGCTCACCCTTGAGGTGAGGTTTTCAAGTGACAGATCATCCATTACATCCTCAAGTAATTGATGAAAATAGTTAATTGCCTCCCTATGACATAAAGCATGCAAATCTGGTTTTGCTGCCTGAGTTAATGTAGCTTCCATTTCTAGCCGGTGGTTTTAGTTACGTCTCAATGGTGAGCTCTTCTAACCAGGACTATCTGATTTTCTCTTTGGAAAGTATGGATGCTGTCCTAATTGCCAACTACCGATTAATAAAACGAACTCAATAATGTATTAGAAAGATACCTTCTAATATGAATTACATATGGCCCAGCTTTACTGCCTCAGTCACTGATTGGAATGGTTTATCCAAGCGCTTATCTTTAAGCCTCAAAATAATCCCACTGAACTCGGCAGTAGACGGCAGCCCTCAGTATTAAAAATAAAATCTCCAACCCTAGCATTTTACAATTTTAAGACCCGGCAACCTAAGTGTTTGCCAACTGCAATCGTTCTTTTCATTTTAGCTTCTCTTGGGCATATTATGTGACTCTAGTTTTAGTCATTAAAGTCTCAGATTGTGCTTGTTTTGTTAACAACCATTAGGGCAGGGGTTCTTACTCTTAATTGGCACCATCTGGAAATGAGAAGGAAATTGCTCAGGATGAACGCAAAGATGAGGAAAGGCCTTGCACTTTTCCATGGTTGCAAAACTTGTCCCGTTTGGAATAGCCATATCTGACCTCACAATCATCTCGCTCTTTAATTCTGTTGGGGGCTGGAGGGAGAGGGAAATTTTCTTTCAGGAAAGAGGCAATCTACACATTGCCAGCAGAACCAGAAAATAATTGTTTAAACGCAGAAAGTTGCACAATTCAGGCTGCTAGCAAACTAGGCCTTTTTATGCAAATTGAATATCTTTGTTCCCAGTTTTTTTCCCATCTTGCACCACTTGTTCAGCATTTCCTCATTTTTTGGCACTGGTTTCCATAGCTGCGTGCAATCACACTCTCACACAGATGCCATTCCGTGTTCAAAGCACTGAATGCTACAGGGCATATTAGTGGTTTTATGCTTTAGATCTATCTTTATGTAACTTCAGAGCTCATTAATATATACCATTTTGTGTGATTAAAAAACAACAACCTGGCACATGAGAAGCTTTGAACAGGAGAATGGATTGCAAGGAAAGTGGCTTTCTTCTCATTATGCATATTTTAAGCTAGACATGAGATGGGCCCAGCAAGTCAATGGACAAGGTACAACTTCTGCAAGGTAATCATTCCCTGACTGCAGCTGAGCGGACTGCGTGTCAAAAAAAAACCAAAAACCCAAACCCAAGCCCCGAAAGAGTCAAATGCTATTTGAAACATAAAGATTTTCACATCACAATTTTACAATAGTGGATGCAAATGAGTGAAAAATCCCATGATGGTCCTTTTAAGACTGTTTAAATTCTCAGGGAGAGCCATTTTCTTTTGCTGTGTGACAAGCTAGACGCAGGACTGAGGTGGAGGTACCAGAGTGACTGGGTTAGTATAAAAATCCAAGAGCAGAGACCAGAAAGGTGTAAATATTCTGGCTGTTGGTGAAGCCTGAAACATTGACTCTAACACCGTTGTGCCAAAAAAGGATTAAGATTATGTGTGCCAGAGCATAGTTCTTCTCTAGCTGTGGTTGCTGACTTTGAAGGATTGAAGTGATGAGTATCTCCTACACCAAATAAGGTGATGTAGGAATTTTTCTGACTATCAGTTCTGACTTTTCCAAGCTGCTTTCTGTCTAATGACACCAGCCCGTCCTCCGCTTGCCAAAGCACAGGCTGTTTTAGCAACAGAGGACAGAAGCGGTTGCCCTTTCAGGTTGCGTGCCTGTCCCTGCCGTGACTGTTTCTCCTGCCAGGGTGTCCTGATAACCTCCCAAGAAGATCACACAGCACAGGCTCACATCCTCACTCATGCTGTGACGGCTGCAATGATGAGGAGCAGCAGGAGGAATTGGGAACCAAAACCACGTCAGGATATGGCACCCAAAAGTCAGACATCTGAAGGTAGGGAAACTGCCTGGTGCATCTGACAGCAATCAGAATACAAACATGGTCCCGAGGGGCAGGAGGACATTTTGGTGTGAGAAGAAAGGGGACCAGTGCAGTGTGACACAAAAATAACTTCTACGGAGGTACCTGTAATATGTGTAGGTGCATGTGCTTAGCCATCACTGAGCAAACCAGAGAGGTGATTCCCCCCTAGCCCTTTGAGGAGTCTATATTTCTAAGGAACAGCTGTCCAGAAAAAAAGAGATACTTTATGTTAGGATGGTTGGGAAACTGCTGTCGTTGCAGCTTGGGCCATGGCAATAATGGAAAATCTGGTGTATAATCCACCCGATGCTCGCTAAAACCTTCCAGAAATGGTCAGGCAAACACATTTTTCCTGTCTTAATTCCTGAGTTTGTGTTATGGGATATGTCACTCGTAGCAATGCAGCCTCTG